GGAAGGAAGCATGAAGTGCTCCAAAATCTCCTGGTAGACGGCTGCGTTGACCCTGGACTTAATGAAGCACAGTGGACCAACACCAGCAGATGACATGGCTCCCCAAATCAACACAGACTGTGGAAACTTCACACTGGGCTTCAAGCATCTTGCAGTGTGTGCCTCTCCATTCTTCCTCCATACTCTGGGTCCTTGGTTTCCAAATGAGATGCAAAATTTGCTCTCATCAGAAAAGAGGACTTTGGACCACTGAGCAACAGACCAGGTCTGTTTTTCTTTAGCCCAGGTAAGACGCTTCTGACTGTTCAGGAGTGGCTTGACAAGAGGAATACAGCACTTTGGGAACATCCAACTTCTTTTGCAATTACCTTTTGAGGCTTTCCCTCCTTATGGAGCATGTCATGATGGTTTTCTGCACAACTGTCAGGTCAGCAGTCTTTCCCATGATTGTGATTCCTACTGAACCAGACTGAGAGACCATTTAAAGGCTCAGGAACCCTTTGCAGGTGTTATGGCTTAATTAGCTGATTAGAGTGGGACACTTTGAGCCTAGAATATTTCTCCTTTTCACAATATTCTAATTTTCTGAGATTGTGGATTTGGGGTTTTCATGAGCTGTAAGCCATAATCATCACAATTATGACAAATCACGGCTTGAACTATCTTGCTTTGCATGTAATGAGTCTATCTCATGTATTAGTTTCCCTTTTTAAGTTGCATTCGTGAAATAAATGAACTTTTGCACGATCTTCTAATTATTCGAGTTTCACCTGTACACTATTTGCTTTCATGTTGTTTCATTCTTGCATGACAATTGGCATATATCTAAAACTGTGTTCTTGCCTCTTAAGATAAGGTTTATGTAAACATTAGGTTGTGGTCAGATGTGTAGGCACATTTTGATTATCCTCAGGCAGTTGAATCTGTTAGCAAAGTCTTAAACACACACAGATAAGGTGGCCATACACTTTGAATTTCTTGATGAACCAGGGAGAATTTGCACAATGGGTGCCACTGTCGGCACCCTCCCGGCTATTATCCCTCGAACAGCTGATCAAAGGAGCCAGTTGGAAAATCTTCGAACATACAGAGCCGACAGCCAATGAACTGCTAGCTCTGTTCTGGCATCCTGACGTTTATAAGCGTTGATGGAGGAATCTGTTATGTTTTCTTCATTCAGCCCACAGGTTGAATGAAGAAAATATTACAGTGTTTGAACACCTTTAGCTTGGGTGACGTTTTTGTATTTAGCCTATGCAGAGGGTAGGGGAGGAACACTCAAACACTTCTATCACTCAGTTCAATTCAGGTGGACAATAGCAATCAGATAAGATTTCCTTATCCCCCTAAGGCTGCTAGAACGTTATAGACCTTAGACTGCAGGTAATGTTTGTGGTTACCTTGAATGGACATAGAGCAGATTTTAGATACATGTATATAAACACTGCTTTGTTTGAAATATTATATACTATATGTAGTTACAGTATGTGCTGCAGTTATGGCTTTTCCGTGCTAATACAAGCTAATATCCTTAGGCTTGCAGTGCCTTTAAATTGTACTAAAAGAAATGAGTCAACATAACATAAAGCCACTTGTCTGTACAAAACATTTAAATGCATATTGTGACATATACTGCAAATGCTTATATTTCTAATAAACAGATGGCATGCTCTATAGTAAGAATCCAAAATATTATATTTGTGTATATTTTCCCCATATTAAGTACTGAATACAAACTTACAGGATGGTGCATACACAATGGCATCAGTCAAACCAATTGGGGAGGCCTGTTAAGAAAAATAATAGTAGTAAACATGTTAAATAAATCCATTATATCTACTAGACCAGGGCTCAAATTTCAGGTCCTGAGCTACTAGCCAGGCCTTCAAAGTTACTCGCCACCAGTTGCCCTGCATAACACAAACAGACACACACAAGGCACAACGCGCACACAGCACAACACACATACAACAACAGCATAACGCACAGGGCATTACACATACAGCCACAGCACAACGCACAGAGCATTACACATACACATTTCATCTGAAATTAATTTTTAGTCTTCGCACATGTCTAATAATATGCGTGGGGGGGGAGCAGTTTTCACTTTTTTAAAATAATTTTTTACATTTTTTATTATAATTTTTTATTTTTATTTTATGATTTATTTATTTTTTTACTGTTGGGGGGGCTTCGGGGAAATATTAGGGGTCCAAACAGACCCCTGACATTTCCCTTTTAAAATAGAAAAGAAATTGAGGACACCAAATCCTCAATTTCTTTTTCAGCAGCCTCAGCACTCAGTGAATGGGAAGCACTCAGTACAGAGGCTTCCCATTCATTCATACACTGATAGTAAAATATTTACTATCAGCTGTTTCCGAATGGGGAGGAGCCTCTGTACTGAGTGTTTCTCCCCATTGAGAAATTCATGAATGAACAGGCTGTGATGTGAATCACAGCCTGTTCATTCATAACTGGGGACACATAATACTATGTGTCCCCAGTTATTTACAAACACTGGAGTGATCAGACGATCG